GTTAGTGTTATTGTGTGGCTTTGGTGAATCCAAACTAACCCTTTTAAATGCCAAAGTGAGACAATGACCCAAACTAACTGATCAAGGCAGCAGTAGACCAGAAGCTCCTAATGCTTTTTATCAATGCAGTCTGGCTTTGAGGAGAGCAATATAACGGCTTCAGTTACCCATCACAAATCACTGACTGATGGAAAGGTAAAACAGTGAGAATGTTCTAAAAACAGTGTACACTTACAGTGATATTGATTTTTTTTAAAGAGGCTAAAATACATTTTGTTGCTGCCGCCTAATTTTAGTCATCATCACGTCTCTTCTGTAGTGGAATTAACATCATATCATGCATGCGTACTCTTATCGTGACGGCCCACCAGCAGATTGGGACATAAAATATAATGCTTTTCAAAGTATGTAATATTCATTCATTGTGCAAATTAAGAAAAAGCATGTTGGCTGATATTTCATTTTGAAGTCAATATTGGCTGATACCAATAACGTGCCAATTTTATATTTTATCGTGCATCCTTTTTTATAGCTACATGTATCTGTAAAAGTAGCGAAGCTCAATGTAACAGGGTAAAGCACATATATTTTATCTACTACATTTGCTGAAACTGTCACTTTATCCTGACAGCAGTACAAGACAGATGTTGTGTGAAAAAAAAAAAAAAAAAATCATGTTCCTCCTCCTCCTGCTCCTGGTAGTGCTTCTCCTGGTACTTGCAAGAATCTACTGCAGCTGAATTAGTCTCTAACTCAACAGTCAATCATGTCAATCATGGCTTGTGAACTGTGGTCAGACTGGCAAACTAGGCAGCACTGATCAAATATGAATCAAGATTCTGTTACTGCCTTTTTCTCTCCTCAAATGTTTTCAGAAACATATTTGAGTGTACTGTTCCTTAAAATGAGAACATTTGCTCTGGCCAGTGGGCGGTGCGTTGTTATGGCTTGACTGTTTTAAACATGGTGACTGGGTCACAAATGTTTACTTTTTACAGTGAAAAAGTAAAGTTTAGACATCAAACATCTGAAAACATTTGAGATGAGAAATAGGCAATGCAGTGTCTTGATTCATATTTGATTAGCGCTGCTGAGTTTGACAGTTTGACCACAGCTCACAAGCAGGGATTGACATGATTGACAGCTGTGTTAAAGACTCCTCAGCTCTGATTGGTTGTTTTCATTCAGGTGCAGTGAATTCTTGCCAATGCCATTAGGAGCACTAAGAAGACGCAGAGGAACATGATTTTTTCCCACAGTTTATTTGTCTCATGTACTACTGTCAGAATATAGTGACATCTTCATCAAATATAAGAAAAAACTTGTTTTATAACAGTTAAAGGGAAATTTCAGTTTATTTCAACCTGTCTCCTATCGTCCTAAATTTGTTTCAAGTGACTAGTGACATAAAAATAATAGTTAGCATGTTAGCTGTTAGCCTAGATAGAGTGGGGTGCATAGCAGCGTCAGACCTGTTAAAACGTAAGTGAACGGGCATCCCTTCAAGTGCAAAGTTAGTCCACTAAACAAGCTTTTTTCCCACAAAGACCGCCTCATATCGTTAGGATAAATGTCAGACAACATATGGGAAATGACATGTAAACGTGTTGTCTTACCTTACCAGTGTGGTGCCATGTTTGTTTACCATTTAGCTCTGCTTTCCAAAGCGCGGCCGAAATATATCTTGCGAGCTCTAGGTAAAGCCCAGCTGGATACTAACGTTACTCCAGGTGGAGGTGTCTCGTCCTTGGTCACATCCAGACCTTGGAAATAAGGCTGCAACCGGTCCCATTCCTTGCAACAGAGGCATTCCTCTTCTGTGGGCACTGGGGCACAGCATTCACAGGTACACCACCAATCTCCAGAGCTATGCAGCCTTGCAGCAGCCATTCCTCCTCTCTCGTCCTCTACCTGTTGCGCCTCTCTCTCTCTCCTCCTCCGTTCTTCAATTTCACGAAGCTCTTCTGTTTACCATTTAGCTCTGCTTTCCAAAGCGCGGCCGAAATATCACGAGAACAAGCAGCAACAGCTGGAAAGAAGAACCGGACAGTAGCCTGAAAAGTTCATTCATTTATTTTATGAAAGATTTATAGAATAATGGCTGACTTTTTGCCAGACTTCGACTTTGTGGAGGAGGAATTTGATTTTGCAGAGTTTGATGGCCGCCCTTATTTATTTGAGCCAGAATACACTGACGAAGAGGCGGTCTTTGTGGAAAAAAAGCTTGTTTAGTGGACTAACTTTGCACTTGAAGGTTGCCCGTTCACTTACGTTTTAACAGGTCTGACGCTACTATGCGCCCCGGCTGTATCTAGGCTAACAGCTAACATACTAACTATTATTTATATGTCACTAGTCACTTGAAACAAAGTTAGGACGATAGGAGACAGGTTGAAATAAATGGAAATTTCCCTTTAACAGCTTTCTACTGTTTTGTTGAAATCTGTAAAGTTTAAAAGGAATTTTCTTGTACGTATATAATAACGGTGAGAAATAGTCTAGGGAACACTTTTAGTTAACCACCGCTTTTCTATTCAGATAATTCTGTTTCTATCCTTCCAAATGAGCTGTTCTTTGTCTAGCACCCAAACATGACCATGATTTTAGTGACAATGTAAAAATTAAAAAAATTGATCATGTGATCTATCATTCAGGGAAAATAAGCTGCATCACAAAAACAATGCCAACCTGTCCCTCGGAGCCGCTGTCCAGTGCCAGTGCCTTCTGAATGAAGGCATAGAGGTGAACGTAGGGGTTTGGCAGCAGCTCCCTGAAGATCACATCGTAGTGCAAGTTACTGCGGAAGACAGGTGTAACAAAAGAGAGTGGCGAGCTCAGCTTCAGGGACTGCACAATGTCATCTTGTACATTCTTGGGCGCTGTCGCTGTCAGGGCCAAACAGGGAACCCCTGGCATGCGGCCACGCAGCACTCCCAGTTTGAGGTAGTCTGGCCTGAAATCGTGGCCCCACTGGGAGACACAGTGAGCCTCATCCACAGCCAGGTAAGACAGCAGACCGCGGGAGCACAGGTCCGTCAGGCAGGGCTGGAACGAGGGAGAGGCGACCATCTCTGGGGTGATGTAGAGCAGCTTCAGTTTGGGGCTGCTGCTGCCCAAGTCAGCCAGGATCAGACGGCGCTCGCCTGCTGGGAGCTTGGAGTTGATGGAGCAGGCAGGGATGTTGAGACTCTGCAGGCGGTCCACTTGGTCCTGGAGAGGAACACAGGAAGAGATTAACACATAATTGAGACTGTGCATTGCATTGGAGCGGTCCAATCAGAGGCAGAGACTGACCTGAATGAGGGCGATTAGCGGGGATATAACCAGAGTAATACCCTCAGCCAGGACAGCAGGCAGCTGGTAACACAAGGACTTTCCTGCTCCAGTGGGCATGCACACAAACACATCTTTGTCTCCTGTGGCAAGACACAACACCAGTTACCACCGTGCCACACATTATTCCCTCTGACAACACTACATGTAATATAACTACAACTACACCACATATTTACATATGAACAGGAATGTCAGTTAAGTTGCTGTTGCTCCGAGACAGCTAACGTCTGCTAATTAGCACTGAGACAAACTAACACAGCAGCGGGTATAAAAGCACATTTCTCTGTCTTACTTCTGACGACTGCTTTCACAACATCCTCCTGCTGCTTAGTCCGAAAGTTGTCAAACCCAAAGTGGGTTTTTAAAGCCTGTTTCAAAGTTGTTGTCATCGTTTATCTCCCTGTAAAGGAACTCATAGAAACCTCTTCGGTGTCGTCGCACACTAATGACGTCATTAAAGTCGCGATAAAAACGAAAACTAAAAATAAAGTGTTTTTTTCCTATTATATTGTATTCAGTGTTTGTATACTTAATGTTATTTATTTATATAGTATTTTTTATTTTTATTTATTGCTTTATGTTTTTATCATCTTGCTGGAAAAAGATGCCGCGTGGTGTTTATGTTTTGTAACGGCTTGCGTCAGAGCTCTCTGATTGGTCCAGCTGGTACACGCCTTTCACAGCTGCTGGACACATGTGAGGGATACATTACATGGCCAAAAGTATAAAAAAAATTTAAAAATCTCCCAAATCCAAAAGCTAGAGTGCTAAAACTCAATTTGACATGACGTGGCCTGGCGTTACGGTCAAATGGTTTCAACCTATATTGACAGACACCCATGATAATACAGTGACCGCTACAGGACAAATTAGCAACCTACACACATTTTACACCACAGATGGCTCCTATGTGAATGAGACAAACGCAACAGTTTCATCTTTCAGTGAAACAGTATTCATGGAATGGAAGATAAATGATACAAGCACAATCATAATTTTATCTGAATAAAAGTCCAGATATTGTGATCAAGGTTTACTTACATATTTACCAGTAAACTTGGGAGGGAAGCAGGAGGGCGTTTGCTCTGCTCTCCTCTCATTTTCCTCTCTTGTCCTATCTTCTCCTCTCCAGCCCTCTCTCCTCCTGTATGCTATATTATAACCTTTTAAGTATTAATCTGAATGTTCTTTTATTTTTGAAGCTTGGGAAGGTGACAATAAAAGGCCACTCGAAAATTTGGCAGTACATCCAACCAACCTCACAACCGCAGACCACATGTAACCACACTAGCTCTGGACCTCCACATCCAACGTCTTGCCACCCAGACAGCTGATGCAATAAAAGGTTTGCACAACCAAAGAATTTCGGCACACACTGTCAGAAACTGTCTCAGTTAAGCTCCTATGCATGCTTGTCTTCCAAACCAGGGTCTTGACTTGACCCCAGTTTGTCATGGTAACTAACTTGTGCTGTTGTGAGGTTGGTTGGGTATATCTTGGATTATCTTGGAAAAGGACAATTGTTCACTGACACTGATTTTAACAAATTTGTGACCAAAGTTTGAGAGAAATGTATCTATTCAAGGCATAAAAAGTTTTGGATCTTAAACTTAAACCTGTGAAAATATGAGCAAAAACAATGTACTAATAAAGAGACCAAAAAGTAAGACATGGATTTAGTTTATTAATCATTCACAGAAGTGCATTCTTACTGCAGGGTTAATATTGCACAATACATGACATTAACACTATAGGTTTTCTTTCAAATATATGAAAATACATTATGTGTGTGAGCAAAGAGTAGCACTGTTACTCTACAGTGAGGAGGTGGACGCAACGATCACATTAAAGCAGCAGCAGCAGCAACAGCAGGATAGAGAGTGGTCATACAGTGGAGCTATTCAATAGCAAAATGATGGTCTTTTACATCAGGATCTCTGATTCCTCCCAGTGATTAGGATATAACCATTTGTTATACTTTATTATGATATCTACTGGCTTCTAAAGGAAGAGGTGACAGCGGGAAACTCAACCCCAGAGGCAGGATGTGGGGCAGAGACACTGGCTCTTAGCTGCTGGAGACTTGATCACCAGATCCTTGATGATCTCCACGGTGCCAAACAAGGGGAACAGCTTGTCATCGAAGCTCTCGTTGTAGGTGTAAATGTGCAAGTGTTTGTCCACGTCATAGAAGGACAGCTGGCCGCGGTCGTAGTCGAGGTAGATGCCCACCTTGCGGGGGATGAGGCCAGGCGGCAGGGAGGTGAAGGGAACGGTCAGCGCCTTCAGCTCAGTGCCCCTCTCCAGCCGCAGGCTCAGGTAACCCGTATCTGTGTTCAGGGACTTGAAGCCTTTCCTCAGGGCCGCCTCTTTGGCCACGCCCAGCCTCCAGTCCCGCTCGCCTACCTCCACCTCCCAGTAGTGCCGGCCTGAGGTGAAGCCTTCCACACCGACGGCACACCACCAGCCGTCAAAGCGCTGGTGGTAGTTGGGGACGTCCTTTCTCTCGAAGCCACAGCGCATTCTCTTCTCGTCAGTGGAGATGAGCAGGTCAGGATTGGCTGTGTCCAGATCCAGAGTCACCTCCACTAGAGACCAAAGTAACATGGTTTTAATTACCAGACAGGTTTGGTAAAGATTATACTGACTGATCATTTGATACGATGAATGCTGTACCTGCAGCATCTGTGATCCAATCCCACACTGCAACAAAAAACAGAAACTTTTAATACTGGTTATACAGCCTCTATCTACTGACACCTGTGTGCGGAGTTTAGTGGCATCTAGTGGTGAGGCTGCAAAACTGAAACTTCTCCAGTGTGCCAACTGTGTAAGAGAAACAGAGGCTGACACAAAAATGCAAATAGCTCTATCAAGAGCTGGTTTTCGGTTTGTCTGTTCAGGACTACTGTAGAGTAGCAAACCAGTCAAGTTGCACTTACAGTGTACATCAACGTCTGGGAAAAACATACATGCTTCACACACATCTTCTCCCCGACAGCATAGATCTATAGGTTACTATCAGCTCAGTTTTAAGATGGACACCCAAGATTAGTGTCACCAATTCAGTATCTGATCAAATGTCTCCCCTTCTGTTCCTGAGTCAGGATGTTGAGTAATGGCCTAAAAAATGTTTTTGCAGAACACTGATGTCAGAGTGAAGCTGACCTTCTGAATATAAAATGTGTGAAATTTTGTCATAATTAGGAAATCAATTCTGGGGTTATGGCCAAAAACATGTTTTGCAAGGGCACACTGACCTTGACCTTGTACCTTTGAACACCAAAGTCTAATCACTTTATGCTACAGTCCAAGTAGATGTTTGTGTCAAATTCCAAGAAATTCCCCTCAGGTGTTCTGGAGATATGTGAGATATATGGGAACAAGAAGGATGCAAAGTCACAGTGACCTTGACCTTTGACCACCAAATTGTATTCAGTTCATTCTTGAGTCCGAGTGGACGTTTGTGCCAAATTTGAGGAAATTCCCTTGAGATGCTCTTGATATGTCGCATTTATAAGAATGGGATGGACGGACAAATTGATGGATGAATGCATGGATGAATGGATGGATGCACGAAGTTACGGACAGACAGATGGTGCAAAACTACAGTTTAATATATATATTTAGCCAAAGCAATGACCGTCCCTACAAAGAGCACTACAATGTTGATTACAACAGCAAACAGTCAGTCAGAATGTAACTCAAAACCAGTGAAGCAGGTGTATGTACTGGTTTTAAATGCATGTACATATACAGTGTCACTCACCTGGCTGAGGAATGTAGGATATGGCACCTGGATGGAGATAATAAAAGAGTCATAAGGAAATCAAGTCCAAATTAACAATGAAATTCAGTTTAACTCAGGTTTAATTTACTAACCAATCTTCTGAGTCTTCTGCTTCCACATGAGCCACTGCTGCGGGATGGTATCCTGCAAGGACACACCAAAAAGCTTTGCATTACACCTGCACAGTACAGATAATACACAAGCAGTTCAGCATGCTTTTTTACCTTATCTGGGCGCTGCACCAGTAACGTCAGAAAAACTAGCTCCATGGCAGTCAGCAGGTTGGGCGCGCGGCCCCAGCGCCAGGCTGACTGCATGTCCTCCAGAACCTTTGCCACAGGTTCACCAGGCCACACACTTTGCTGTGAGGAGATCAGTGTGAATAAAAGGTGTCTATTGAGTAAACACAGTGAGGTGAGCATGAAATGTTAATGGTATATTTAAACTTCCCACCTCAGGCTGAGCTCTCAGGTCCTTGACCCAGCTGAGGATCACATTTTTGGCCTGCAGCAGGTCCTGCTCATTAAATATATCAGGCTGTTTGACCTCATCCATCTCTGGCCAGCCATCTGTCTGCATGGGCCTCTTCTGCACACACAAACATTAATACCTTCAGTGGTAAAACATCGCTATGGAAGCCCATTACTGCTAGTACAAGAGAAAAAATACTTGGTATCTGCCAATAATGACTTGGTGTAGCAAAATAATGATTTAGTATCTCAAAACATTCATTCGGTATCTCAAAAATAATGACAGTGTCTTGAAATAATGACTTAGTGTCACACATTTATGACCTATGTCTTGAAATAATCACTTAGTAGAATCAAATGATGACATAGTATCTCGAAATGAGGACTTAGTATCTTAAAATAATGACTTGGTGTGGCAAAATAATGACATGAATGATATAACAAAATATTAATTCAGTATCTCAAAATAATGGCTTAGTGAAGTAAAATAATGACTGAATACCTCAAATAATTACTAAGTATATCAAAATAATGACTTAGTATCTGAAAATAATGACTTAGTATCACAAAAAGATGACTTAGTATCTCAAAATAATTACTTGGGGTCGCAAAATACTGACTTAGTGTCTGGAAATAATGAGAAATTTTAACAAATTTAAGACCTGATGTTTGCACAATAATGACTTAGTAACGCAAATCATGACTTAGTAGAGCAAATTGATTACATAGCATCTCAAAATGATGACTTAATACCTCAAAAAATGACTTAGTGTCACAAAATACTTAGTATCTCGAAATAATGAGAAATGTTCTCAAAATTAAGACTTGATGTTACAAAATAATGACTAAGTATCACAAAAAAATGACTTGGTGTCGCAAAATACTGACTAAGTATCTCATTCTCAACATAAGATGTCAAGACTTGATGTTGCAAAATAAAGACTTAATAGAGTGTGCCAGGGCTGACGTCAAAACCCGGAAGGTTAGCATTGCGCTGGTTCCCGGAAGAGAAAGTAAATGTGATTTTTGCATTGCGTTTTGGATTATGTCAGAAAATAAGCTCAGTAGCTAACACAAGTTTATGATACTTACAGGTTTTGTTCAGCGAGATAATCTTCACATATGAACACCTTTCATACCGCATTTGAAGCTTAAATGCAATCGCCAGAAGTAAAAAGCCAAAGTTAGGCTTTAACGGACTACATGACTACTCCACGGTCGCATGACTTTACGTCACCGCCACTAACCTTCAATTGATTTCGGACGCTTTATTATAAAAACATTGTATAATGGGGAAATCGGACTGTTTAAGCTAAATAAGAAGCTGTAATGGCAGACTGCCAGCACTCTCGCCTGTTCGGGGGTGATGACGTTTAATGTCCCCGACAGGGTTTGTAGTCATATTGACCAACTTGTTAGCAACCACCTTTTTTACGACACATAAAAGCTTCAAAATTCACAAGTAGGATATTTACTGACGTGTTTTATGTCGTAGAACAAAACCTGAAACTCGCTTAAGCTTTTGTTAACCACAGACCTTATTTGAGGCATTTTACCAAAATCCCATTCAAAAAACGTATTGACTTTTAGACAAGAGAACCAGAAGTGCTAAAAGTGGTAACAAAGTTCCGGGTTTACTGGCACACTCTGTACCCCATATAATTACTAGGTCTTTCAAAAATAATGACTTAGTGTCAAAAAATAAGTTATTAAATGTTTTTATTACTTTAAGAAACTCTATCATTATTTTGGATAATGACTTCTAGGACCTTTTTTCATGACACTGGCACAAATGGGCTTCAATACTGTACAAATGTATGTAAGTATAGTTATATTCTGTCCCTAAACTCTCTTGTGGAAATGGATGAGTTTCTCAGATAAGCACCTTGCCCTCTAACATGGAGGCCCACTGTAGGATGATCATCCTGCACAGAGCCGTTGGCCAGGTGTCATCAAGGTTCCAGATGTGCTCCAAGACTGCTGACCGCTACAGATGCAGAGCAGTGAGACAAGAGAGGGAAATGTGGGGTTGGTGAGAGGCAGACAGAGAGGTAAAGACGAGCACTTTCTTTAGAGGTCTGATTAAATAATTTGTGGTTTAGTGAGTGAGTTGTTACCTGGCACACTCGGCTCAGATCTCTTGCCAGATCCACAACAAACAGCTGATCCTCGTCCAGAGGCTCCCTCTTCCCATTCTTCGCTCTCTTGTGAGATTCCTGCAAGACAATTAAAAATTAAAGGCTTTTCTGTGGGAAAGTGTCTGGAAAGGAAAGAGTTCTCAGCAAAAAAAGACATTTGGAGGACACTTAGTGCTGCTTTACAAGTGCCTGAGAGAGTAATAAGGTCAGATTAGAAAGGAGGGGTTCACTCAGGCTGATTAAAATTCACATCGTGGCTCCGTTGCTGTCAGCAGAAAGGAAAGACAGCCCTCCCTGCCAGACTCTCACAGCAGCTCGCTTTTGTTTAATTAAACCAGGAAAAGAGAAATGTGTGCAGTCACATGGTGCTTTAAAGTTTTGTTATGTCAACCGTATGTTTAAGTATCAATGTGACCCAAAAAAACAGGTTTGCACATTAAACACACAATGTTTACGGTTTATTCTGATTTTGAGAGTGCACATAAGTGTTACCTTTATCTTGGCCGTTAAGTTTTTGGCCGGCTCCACCATGAAGTGAAAACACTGCATCATCTTGGCTGACTCTGTAGAGTTCTACGGTGAATAAGCACAAATACATGTTAGTCTAGACAAACTCCATTATTTGTTCTTGTTAGCAGTTTTGACACTTCGACACTGGACAGTAAAAGTTACACTGCTATAGCAAAGATCAGCAGTGATTGAATATAACTAAGTGCATTTACTCAAGTACTGTACTTAAATATAATTTTAATAAACTTGTACTTGAGCATTTCCATTTAATGCTACGTTATACTTCGACTCGACATTTCAGAGGGACATATTGTCCTATTTACTCCACTCCACATGTCTAGTTACAGCTTATTACCATGGGCGGATTATGAGACAACAGGGCCCTGGGCACAGACATGCAAAAGGCCCCAACACCTCTCCTGCATAGGACTGAAAACACACACACAGACTTTGTGATGTTTGCTTTTTTTTCATTGTTGTAGTCATTTAGTGTCTCTTTTTGGTTGTTGTACTCCCTTTTGCAGTTTCTTCTGCCTTTAGGGTGCTTGCAGACCTAGAGTTGTCTCCTTTGGTCTGAATCAGGGACTAATTTTGTCACAAAGTTGCATAACTGCCTAGAGTTGGTTTGTGTTCTCACGACAGCATATACAAGCGGACCAGATCAAATGCCTTGCGTGAGAAAGCTGCTCTTAATTGGTCAGAATTTCCATGTGGGAAAAATCCAGGAAGTAAAAAAAAAGTTAAAGAAGAGTACACTTGCAAGATAAATGTGACACTTTCTAATGTCACAATGGAGGGACAACTACGCAGATTGATTTTAGCGCTGCTCATCGTGGACTATATTGCTGTCATTGTTCATTTTAGTCAAACCATACAGTTTGAAAACGAGGCGCGGCTCCAACTAGAAAACAATGTTTTGATGCATTGGATGTGCTGAATGTGCATATTAAGGCAGTACAGGAGGAGGTGCACATTAATAATCCTCCAGGACTGTAACATGCTCATGTTTAACCCAAACAATGTGTCATGTGACTGCAGTTGGTTCGGATCCAGGTCGGAACACGTTCTCACTGCAACAGAGTTCGTTTGTAACTGGACTGAGACCACCTCTTCAAGAGGGTCTCAGTCTGGTTGTTTTGGTGCACACCTGAGTGTGATTGCTGTGTTCACACCTGCCCAAATGAACTGCACTTAGGGGGCAGATGAACTTGAGTTTGATTGAACTGAACCAAACAGGGCAGGAGTTAAAGCACCCTTAGTGTCTTTTTTGGTCGTTCTGAGTCTCTATGCAGTTTTTTTGTGTTGTATTTTTTGTCTCTTTTTAATTGTTTTGCCTCTTTCTTAAGTTATTTTGTGTCACTTTGTAGTCCCTCTGAGGCTCTTTGAGGTCATTTCATGGGTTTATGGGTAATTTTGTCCTTTTTGGTCAATTTGTGTCGCTATAAGGTATTTTGTGGGTGTTAAGGTAATTTTGTGTCTCTTTTTGGTTGTTTTGTCCCTTTTCGTACATATTTTGTGTTTCTTTGAGGTCATTTTTGGCATTTTGTGTCTTTGTGTTTGTTTTGCCCTTATGTAGTTACTTTGTGTCTCTTTGCAGTTTCTTTGCATCTCTATGTTGTCTTTTTTGTTAACTCCTGGTTGGTACATGTTAATTCCAATGTCATATCACAGACAGTGGTCTTGACACTTTGGGCCCCTGGACCTGTGCCCAGTAGGCCTGTTCAGTAATCCATCCATGTTTATTACATTAAAAAAACAACCACATGATATGCCTATATGATATAGTTTACAACTGATAAACCCAGTAAAATTGGCTCCACACTGATGAACTACAACATTAAAATGCTCCTATACCTACAGAGGGATGTCATTGTTGTAAAGCTCTCTGAGGCAAATTATTACTTGTCATATACAGATACTTTACAGATAAAACTGAACTTGAACGGAAATGACTGGCACAGTCCTTTGAGGCATCCTTTGTGACTGGGCTATAATGAACTTTGGATTGACCATACAAATATGTACAACACCTTGGGTATGAATGTGTGATATAAATAAATATACCTTGCTTTGCCTTTCATGTATTCATTGGTGTTAAAAACAGAAAAATATAATACTACTAATAATAATAACACTTGGAAAGTAGCCATTCTGCATAGTGCTGATAATACTTCTACACTTCTACTTCAGTAACATTATATTTGTAGTATTTTTTAGATGTTATTTCAAGTGTTACGTAAGAATCTGAGCACTTCTTCCACCACATTAGTCGACTCTCTGGTGAGATCTGTCGCATCACTCAGCCTTTAAACTGGATCACTGCTAATGTTTATCTCCATAACACCAGCATGTTGTGTGCTGTAAATCATTAGACACGTGATGGAAAGTTCACATGGCACAAATACGTAACACCCGAGTGTGATCACAACAAGTTATTAAAAGTGAGGGATGTCATGTCCTTGACTTCAGCAGACATTAAGTAATAAAGTTAATAAAGTCAAATTATCTCCGGTGAGACATGAACGGGTCCATCAGGAGGTTGTATCAGAGTCCACAGAACACATCAGTGATCATTAACTGGAGCAGAATGGAAACGTGACTGGGCCTGCACACGTCCAGCTGCCTGTCTGAGTGTGTCCTTGGTTAGTGACTCTGTTCTCTGTCCCCCTCACCCACTTTCTCACCATCGTCATCTGCAGAAAGATGCATGAGCTCAGTCTGCAGTGTCTGCTTGGCACTGGAGCCGTTGGGATGACCAGTTTGAGCAGGATTTCGGGATGATGTGGGTGATTGGATGCATAAATAAAGCCTTTCTGCGCTGAGCATGTCACTTGACCCCATTTACTTCTGAGAAACTAGTGATAATCTGCAGTCTTATAAAACACAGTCCTGCTATGAAAAGTTATGCAGGTTAATTTAAAAAAAATGCAGCACATCAGATCACCCTCGATTTTGAATGTGGTTAATATATGCAGTGGGCCAAAATGCACTAAACTGCATTTTTGCATAAGTAAATGGAAGATATTGGAATTGCAGAGAGTGAAATCAAGCCCCAGGGCGAATGAAAAAGGAGATGCACCATTACAAAGGTTTTCCAATGTCGTGGGAAAACATGACCATGCAGTTTTTGCAGTGTGAGAGCGACCCAGTTAGAGGCCAGCTGACTGCGCAGGAGGTAAACACACACTTGTCTCGTGACTTTGCGGCAAATCTGGATTATAGCTGCAGTCAGACTCTTTTTGAAAACGTTGCAAACTGGTGCATCTGCAGCTGTGCATGCAACACGATAACATGTTTTACACATTTATACTGATAACGTCACAACTGCACTGCGTCCTGCTTAGCAACAAATACCACACGGTAGATAATAACGCGCACGAGTAATGACGCACGAGCTCACCTTTCTCCTCACAGGTGTGGTTAAGAAGTTTTCTTCTTCTCCTGCTGTGAAAGCAAACAGCCGTCCGTGTGTGGAGGAAGTGTTTGGACTGTGCTGCTGCAGTGTCTGACCTTGTTTACATGCCAGACTGACGGTCGGCTGCTCGGGAACGTTCGGTTTTCTCCGTCAGTGACGAACGAGGCTCTGATGTGGACGAAGCGAGCGGCCATGTTTGTAAGGTGATGATGACGCTGTTACTGACGCAGGTGTAGGTTTATTTTGGTAGAACAAACAGATGAAAAATGTGTATGTAATGTGTGGAGTAGTTATTATGAAAACAAGAAGAGAAAATCTGTGGACTGACACAATTATCATTATGGCCAAATATTACATGTACAAACCAAAATGTATGAAAACACCACCCATCCTTTTTTAATTAGGTAATTTGGGGAACAAAACAAGTGAAAGACATGACAGGGACAACACTATGTTGCAGACAAGACAGGTGTAAGATAACAATTAACACTAATGACAAACACAGGCATATTGGTATTGTGTATGTTGATGGTGGGAAGAGCCATGGGTGCAAATAAATTAAGCAAACTTAAATTAGGAAAAGGGAGACAGAAAAATAAATAAATAAAAACGAAGAAATACATTACATATTTCATACATAATAAAAAATCGCTCTCTCCCAAACCCCACTCCACCTCCACCTCTCCTCTGTCTTCTCCTTAAATTAAATTCAATAAATTAAAAATGAAATGGAATAGCAGAGATTTCCGCTTCTTCAGTGGCCCCCAGACCCTGGAGAGGGGGCTGACTGATGGAGGCCACCACCTGCTACTCCAACAACCCAAGACCCAATGGGCGGGGGTTTGTTCATGAGGTTGGAGGTGTGTGTACGCATTCATCATATCAAATGGGGTTTTGTTTTTCCCACTTTATTTATTTGTGTCCACATTGTAGAAAACATGTATACACCTCCTGGGAGCAAACAGTCAGATAAAATACATAAAATCCAACTTCAAATAATAATGTGCCCCCATAAAAAAAGGGAACAACATAACGGACAAAGTGTGCGTATATGTGTGCACACGCATGCCTGCGATTTAAGGCTCTGCAGCAGATGTTGAGAACCAACAGTACAACAGCCTCACAGCTGATCAAGCAGATATGTAATAAAAGGTTGCCATTCACTATTAAAACTGTCCTCGAGTCCTTGTAAAGCAAACCATATCTTTTCAAGCTCCAAAAATTGCAACGTATCTCTAACCCCATGGTCGCCTGCTTCCATTTAGATGATATACGTCTTCTGGCTCAAAGGCTGACATAAGCAATACAATTTTACTGTTCCCTAGGAAGGTGACTGTTTTCACACTGAATGCCAAGAAATGCCGTGAGAGGATTTGGAGTATTTTGGAACGGGCTTCAGAGTGGAGAACCAGTAAACTAAGAGAGACCTGGGCAGGAACAGAATGTATGAGCTAGTGTTGCAGGGGAACTTTTACATCTGTCACAACACAAGAGTCTTCCCTGTGGGGTACATTTTTGAGATTTTGACTTTAGAGAGATGAAGTCTGTGTCCCACCTTGAATTGAATCAGGCCGTGCCTGGCACATATTGATGAGGTGTGTATTCTCGAGAATATATCTGACCACTCAGCATCTGTATATTGTAAATTCAGATCCACCTGCCACCCCTCTCAATACATCAAGAGATGTTGACTGTAAAGATGATAGTTGAGTCAAATACATAACAGATATTGTGCCTTTGAGAGATGGAGCTGTTAGAAATAGAATATCAAGTTATTTTCTCTATGCAACTGTTCACTTCTAAGAGCCACAATCCAACAGGTGATGGCAGATCTGACTTCCACCTCATTGCAATACATTCTTTGGCAATAGCCAAAAGGATTTCTGTATGATGGAATAGCTATGTCTGATATTAGAATTTAAGAGGTTGCCCAAGAGGCATACCTCTGGATCCACTGGGAAAGTGTTTCCAGATGAGGGTGAGGCATCACAGATCCCCTGCCAAAAGCCTCATAATTTACTACACTGCCAGGTGGAATGAAGGAAAGTGCCCTCAGGTGGACCACGTCTGAAACAAAGGGGTGAGAAATTGGGGTTAAACCCGTGAAGCTTGGATGAGGTGAGGTAAGTCTAATGAAAAAAGTTGAACTGAATTAATCTATATCTTGAGTTTAATGTACAAGTGACACCAATTGTTGTAATTAATTGTAACTTCTGAGTGATATTTTCAATGCAGGACTTTTGCATGTGATGGAAAACTTTTACAGTGTTGTATTTCTACCTTATTTACATGTCTGTCTTGTATCAGAATGCTTCCAATAATGCAGCAAAACTTGAAGTGATGATGGTATCTTAATTTTAGATTGCTGCCCCCTCTGGCTTAATGATAGATTTGATAAGTGAAATGTTGACACAGTGAACATTGTAGGTCCACTGCTTATTTATAATTCAAAGGTTAGGCTCATATAATTATTGTTTATGTGACTGAATATGATTGACTCAGCCAAAGATATTCAGATTTTTAACAAAAGATAAAAACATTGGTCTTCTTCTAATAGGTGGAAAATAGGTAAGGCACAATATCAGATTTTTACTACACAATTATTGTGACCAAAAGAGTTCCTAAAAACAACATTGCTGCAATATCTATAGAATAGTAAAAATAATTTAAATAAAATGAAATGAAATAAAATAGAATAAAATAAAATGAAATGAAATGAAATAAAATAAAATAAAATAAAATAAAAAAATAATGCTATCAGTCTGGATCTATGGGTTACTTATCCACAGTCAGTGTGTTACATACAGTAGATGTCAGTCAGCATGTCCCCAATTTGGAGAAGCAGGCTGAAGTTCAACATGGAAGCTAAGCAATGTACTGCTGTGGGTGGGGTCAGCAACAAAACATATTTTAGCCACCTAAAAAAATCAAGTCTAAGTCTATAAGGTGCTCCTAATCAAAGTCAAGTCTATGCTGTATTGAGAGTATTGTCATTGCTTTACCTTTCCATCAGAGCGCCCATTCTTACGGGGGAGACGTTATCAGCTTCACTTCCCCATCTATGCTCTCATCAAAGCCACCAGATTCCATTGACAAAAACAGTAATGTACACAGGGGTTGCTGGTCTACCACTGCTTTGATTGGTCAGTTTGTGACTTTGGTGAATCCAAACTAACCCTTTTGAACACCAAAGTCACGCAATAACACAAAGAAAATAACTCCTCGAGGCAGCAGTGGACCAGCAGCTCCTGTGTTTAGCAGTGTGAAATCACTATTTTTCTCAGTGGAGTCTGGCTTTGAGGAGAGCAATATAACCGCCCCATTTTCCTGTTGGAAATCACTGTCTGACATTAAGGCAAAGCAGTGAAAATATTCTAAATTCACCACACAATCAAACGTATGTTGTTTTTTTAGGTGGCTACACTACGCGTTGTTGCTGACCCCTCCACAGCAGTACATTAACTTCCATGTCAGATTCCAGCCTGCTTCTCCAAAGTGGGGGCGTGCCGACTGACATCTACTGTATGTTATACACTGTCCATGGATAAATAGCTTTCCACACAACCCCATTTCAAAAAATCTATACTATCCCTTTAACACTAACACTGGTATATTATGACACCACTAGTGCAAACACATTTTGTAATTTGACAAAGGACAACACAGTTTGTGGACTAATATGAGACTCATGTTTCATTTGGGTAATTTTAGAGCTTCACGAACAGTGATATCTTTGTCTTGTTAGTCAAAGTGAATGACTGCTGATACTATCCTGCCTGCAGGCTCCACAGCCTGTGGACATCGACTGGGCGTTCAACTAAAATTACCCACATTAAACATGGTCATATGATCCACTGTTAAAAAAAGATGTTAACAAAAAATCTTGCTGCTCAAAAGAAGCTGAAGACTAAAAACATGTTCTTATTTTTAATAGTGTTCAGTGCTCTTAACTGTTCCCCACACCTCACTGTGAAATGAGAATAAACAGCAAAGTAAATGTGATTGTGGCTCATTAGATATTGAGAGCATATGTGACGATACAGTTTAGGAATCTTGTTTATCCATTTTCTCTCTAATCATTTCTACTACTGAGCCAAATTCCTGATAATGTGCAGTCTCATTATTACATTGCCGCAGTTTATTTTTGAATCTCAACAGTACTAGCTGAGGCGCGGACAGAAAAAGATCATAAGAGCTGCAAAAAAATGGAGAGACATTCAAGGAGCTTCAATTAAAATAGGGGTGAAACAAGGGTCAGACGTTTCTCTGCAAATTAATTTTAACAAGTAAAAGAACATAGAAAAAAGCTGAGGAGGAATTAGTTGGTAAAAAGTCTCCTTTTGAAATTGCCTTTAGTTTCTTTTCTGTCTTTTACACACAAGCTCACACATAGTCCTGGAAATGTAACAGCACTATCAAAAGCCAGCCACACAGTGATCTTCTCATGTCTGTTAAATATTCATATGTATTCATGTGCCACAGCTGTATAATTAGAATAGTCAATCAACAAAACAATAAAAGTATTTATTACTCTTGTTTTCAGAAACAATGGAGTCAATCATTTTTCTTTTCAATAAATACAGAACATGACAATGTGCAGGACAAACATTTGGCATGTGTTCATGGTGGATTTCAGAGAATAACTGTGTGATAAAGAAAAAACACAAAGCAGGTCTCGACAAGGAACTTGGTATTTCTCCGCTGTTTTCATTTCACATTCACTTCGCTTCACTCTACACCTCCAAGCCTTTTTTTAAGATCAGAACAAAGAAATCAATGTTTCTGTCCTGGCTATATGAGAGAGAGAAATCATAGAGTCTGATCTGCCTTAAAGGGACAGTTCACCCCAAAATAAAAAATACATATTTTTCCTCTTGCCTGTAGCGCTATTTATGACTGTAGGTCAATTTAGTGTGAGTTGCAGAGTGTTGGAGATATCAGTCGAATCTTTTAAATACAATGGAACTAGGTAGTACTCGGCTCAAAGCGCAAAAATATCTCTGAAAAGCTTGTTTCTTTCCAGAAATTATGACCTAAACAGACCTTGTTGTGAGCAGTTTGATGTAGGAACTACTTTCTTTCTACCGAATTACACCCGCCACCTGTACCACCGCGCAGAAGGAAGCGTGCATCTACTGCTAGCTGAACTAGCACCACTGAGCTGGCTTTTTATTTTCTTAAAGTTATGAAAGTGACTTGTTTCAGGACTACACTTCCTGGTGAGGACACATAATTGTAAATAGATCAAACAAACCAAACAGAAAGAGGAAAAGAGTCACTATTACAGTAACATCATAATTCCCACTTTGCTCTTTGTTAAATTTAGAGGCACTGATACATGACGACACATCACAAGAAAACTATGAACAAGCTGAACATGAGCAGAACACGTGCAAAAGTTGAATTAGGGTGTAAATCAGAACACGTGAATGTGATCTTAGTGGTGACGGTAGTATTGGTGGTCTCTAAAGGTCTTTTATCCAAAGACCTTTTGATTCAGAGTCTGTAGACTTGTTCAGTTGCTGTGCAGTGCATTGATAGCGCTGCTTACATCATTTGTGCTATCAAACAAAAAGACTTCAGCGAAAGGCAACAGAAACAATAACCAGTGTTTACTAAGAAAAACTGGTTGTATCAAAAATATCCTTATACATAGTTGTCACTGTGCAGTTATGAGTATCTTTATAAGACAAGGAAATTATCTCCAGTTAACAATGAAGACCATGAAAGTATCTTGTCTAGGGAACAGGGTTGAGGAAACTGGAGCTAACTGAGCTAGTTAACATTACAGCTCAGCTGAGGAGGATGCCATTTATGTTTAAATCTTGCCTCTCGTCCATGAGTAGATGCACACATCCTTCCGTGCTATGATACGGTGGTGTAGTTTGGTAGAAAAAAAATAGCTCCTACGTGAAACTGCTCACAACAAGGTCTGTGGATTATCTTGAGTATCATGGTCATGATTTCTGGAAAGAGACATTGCTGTTGAGTTTTTAAATGTATTGTTTTAGTGCTTTGAGCACCGCAAGCCGGGTGCCATCTGGTTTCATTATACTGGAGAGAAGGCAGACATCTCTACGGCTGATATCTCCAACACTCAGCAACTCACCAAAACAATCTAGACTGATAAACAGCACTACAGGTGAGAGGAACAATATGTATTTTTGATTTTGGGGTAAGCTGTCCTGTCAACATAAAAAATAAACAAAGGGGTAAAAAGCAAACATGCATTTGTTGTAATATCTCATTATAACTTCATGGAAGGCACTCTCATTAGCACCTTTTAATATTTTCCCTCTCCCAGGCTGAACCACATGCTGTATGGCGGTATGGATCGGCCTCGGCAGGGTACAGAAACAAACAGATTTCGGATAACTTTACAAACCAGGCAATGGGGTCTCAATAAAGGACAAATGTTCACTAACACAGTGGTTCCCAACTGGTCCAGCCACCAGGTCCAGATTTCTCCTTAGTCATTAGTTCAAGGTCCACACAGTTTAATATATTAAGCATCATACTTGCATTTGGCCACGTTGTCCAGCTAGTTTGCTGTCTCTGTAAAGGTACTGTTCATTAGTCACTGAATTGACAGCAGGAAATGGCACTTCAAAATAAAAGCTCTGTGCCACAAATTTACTGTATTTAAAAATAAGTGTGTTTTTTACAAACTTGACACATTCGTGAGTCACTTGCAGTCCATTCAGAATGGACCAATGACCCAGGTGGGAACCACTGAACTAACAGAGTATAATCAACAAAGTAAATAGTGGTTCCCTTTTTTGGTTTAAGTCCTGTAGTCCTCAAATTTATTTTTCAAGATGTACCAGCCACCTCAGTAAATGTAAATATCCAGTGATTCTCTAAATTCATTAGCATGTACAGTAACAAAGTGTTTTAACATTCAAACGTGCCAAGCCAAAGAAGTCCTTTCCTGAAGCTCCTCTTTGGTTGCTCCTTCATCAGCCGTCTCTCAACATAAACACAGTCTTGAGGTATCTGAATCAGCTTGTGTGAAGGTTCCAGTCTTCAACATGTCTCGGGATGTTTTTCATCTGTATATAAAGCAATCACACGTCTGTCACATTCATGAACCAGCTTGAGAAACTTGCTCGGTAATCACACAGGTAGAATAGCGCTGTTGGTGTCAGAGCTGACTGGATGAGGTGTGTCGGGCCCTGTGTTGGTGTAAATGCTCTGAGGAGGGCAGACATCCGGACTGGATGGGAGGATGTTGTACGGCAGCTCCATAGACTGGCGAATACTCTCTTCGTATGTTGGAGGAGGCTGCAGAGAAACAAGACAGGTGTTTTTAAAAAAAAATACACCACTTTATTAGATACACCTGTAAACGGTTATGCATTTAGTTGTTCTGCTATAATGTTTATGTCTATGATGCCTATAATGTTCAGGGTTTTTTTTACACTGTTATGATGTTGATGAGTGTATAGCGGTTGGGATGAGTCAGCACCCCCAAATCTGAGGCCATGGTTTGCCTCCAGGTTGGGAGACAGTTACTGCCTCAAGTGAGGGAGTTCAAGTATCTCAGGGTTTTGCTCACGAGTGAGGGTAGAATGGAGTGTGAGATGGATTGGCTGTTTGGTGCGGCATCTGCAGTGATGCTAGCACTGTGCCGGACCGTTGAGGTGAAGAGGAAGCTGAGCCGGAAGGCGAAGCTTTCGATTTACTGGTCCATCAGCATCCCAACCCTCACCTATGGTCACAAGCTCTGGGTAGTGACTGAAAGAACGAGATCACGGATACAAGTGGCCGAGATGAGTTTCCTCTGTGGGGTGGCTGGGCTCAGCCTTAGAGGTAGGGTAAGGAGCTTGGACATACGGAGGGAGCGCGAAGTAGAGCCGCTGCTCTTTCGCATCGAAAGGGGTCAGAATGTCCCACACCGTTGGCCCTCATCGGTGCAAGTCAGCTTTTTTTCCTGCTGATTCTGCGTATTGAATCGGCTTCGGTGACTGCAGAGCCCTTTGGTGAATCTGATTGGCAGTTCAGCTCATCACAGAAGAAGAGAAACAGAAGTGAGGAAAGTAAACACAGCGATAAAGTCCAGAGGGAGTTAGACCAAAACAAACTTGTGACATGAGGCAAGATTATTTTTTCTTTAGCTCTTGAACTCTTTTGCAGAAATGTTTCGTAATGGTTTGTGTTATTGTTCACTGGTGCATGACTGGATTGTGTTGTTAATGTGCTAACTGGGTAATTAGCATCAAGACAGTCTTCCTGTTTTCACTTTTTGAATGAGGATTACAGACTACCGCCTTCTGCTTGTGTGGAGAGTCATTTCTTCTCAAGCAAGCGCATAACGTACAGGCTGGTTGGCTGTCGGTTGAAGTTTAGCAATGTATTCATGTGCAACTTTTTGGCCATGACACAGGCAACGTGAGGCGCAGCAGGAGGCCTTCGCTGGTTCTTTGAAGTCAGTTTGGCGTGCCTGGGCCTTTACATTCGTCTGGTTAAAGGAAACACAACTCTAAACATCTGCACACTTGCTGGATGTGTCTCCAGGCAACATTTTGCTGATAATTTTATAAGGTAATAATGGCGATATTGTGTTTACATCTTGTTGCACTGTCCCAAGTGGTAAAAAAGGTAATGCAAGTTTAAGCAAAGACCTGAAATAAGAAGTTTCATTGGTAATGGGGTACAACTGAATAAGATACAATAGATGAACTTGCTGCTCACTTCATAACCCTTGAGGAAACTTCTCATATTGGGTCCTTATAAAGACTTCTTATACTTTTTCAAACGTTAACGGAGCTTTTCCTGTCTTGCTAGAGGACACTGTCCTTGCTACCTGTCTAGTCTACACAACAGTATAATCACTTAAAGTGATAACCACAAAATTCTTCAGCACAGACAGAAAATGTTATTTCCCAGGATGAAAGTGATGCTCGGAAAACATCCTGAGGTCTGATATCTATCCCTAAAAAATAAGTGGAACATGTTTGTATTTACATTACCAATTAATATCGTCCGCCTGGAACATATTTTTCTCCAGTGGATTATCTTTCTGATCACATCTGGCAGATTCACACTCCCCCAACTGGGTCTTCTTATCTTTTAATTGCTTGGGGACCCTCGGGCGACAAGAGCAACCCTACAACCCTGCCCTCTGTGCGATACAGACACCACACACACACCAGGCCACAAAGTTTTACTGCTACCCTGCCTCTGGCTGCAGGGCAGACAGGTTTAAATTAAGGGGCCATCAGTTGAACTCCCAGCGCAGTCTAAAAACGGGGGAAGGAGGTTTTTTACTGACTGGTGATGGGTTGACTGGAAATTACCATGCGTGAATGTGCTCTCTTTGTGTGTGTGTGTGTGTGTGTGTGTGTGTGTGTGTGTGTGAGATGGGCAGCCATCCTAAGGACTATTTAATTAAGGAAAAAAGGGGAGGTCAAAGAAGAAAAAAAAAAAAACAGTAGAAGACAGGAGCACAAAGATGCATTCCCGGGCCCTGTTTGCACTCAGGATGCAGGCTTTAATTATGTTTGATGTGCCTTTTTCTCATTACCTTGTTTGCTCAAGCGTTGTGCGAGTCAAAAGCTCAGCGAAAGATCAACACGGTAAAACCTTGAAACGCGGCCGCCAGCACAATTCAGCAGCGAGCATTAGATGAGCTGATAGTGCATCCTGTTTACTGCACTCTGAATGCAATCTCATCTTTGAACGAGCTCTTGTTACGATATTGTATGACGGCGAGGTCATAATAGAAAGAGCCAGCTTCTTATTATCTCCATTCATTGTGAAACTACAGATGAGCCTTTATAATAAGCCGAGTTTATATGAGCTTTGGCATTCTCTGAGACTGTAATAGGAGTCAAATATCCTCTCTGTTCCCATGGATTAACAACGGCACCTGAAATACTCCATTGTCAAAGCATTTGTGACTGTATCAAGTGATGTGACACAGTCCTGATCCCTAATTTAGCCGACCTCAGTCACAATGGGTCCATTGAGGCCGAAGCGGTCTGCGATCATCATGTGGATCTGCCTCTGGCGGTCCTTCTTTCGGACGCTCTCGTAGGAGGGGAGCCTCGGCAGGGGGGTCTCCAGCGTGGGCAGGCTGTAGCTGGAGGGCAGGCCGACGTAGAACAGCTGACCTGCCTGCTGGGACACAGAGAGGTCAAACACAGAGGGACACTTATGAGGGACAGGAAGCAGACGCCTTCATGTGTCGAGGATTTATGTGGATCATTGGAACCCACTTTAAATCTACAGCCATTGAAATGTTCACTTCAGTGGTGATATGTGTGTGTACAACATGTGTTGTGAGAGGGAACAGAGAGTAGGGCTGGGCGATATGAAGAGAATCAAATATCACAATATTTCTTACCAAATACCTTGATATTGATATTGCAACGATATTTTTAGGTTGACTGTTGGTACTTTCACAAAATATTTACACAACGATAAATAACCATCAGTAACATAGAGATAATGATGAAGTGGATAAAGGCCGAGGTAGGACCAAGACAAAAGTCTCAAGTTAATCTCTTCCCCTCAAGTCTCAAGTCAAGACTAACAAGTCGAAAATCAAGTCCCAAGTCCTACACCCTACACTTTGAGTTTCAATTCCTTAACAAGTCCTTATCAGTATTGCCAACTCTAGAGTCAATGGAAAACCTTAAACAAAACATTTCAGTGGCATGAGAGCTAATGGCCTTTATACTATAGTGCACCACTTTGTCCTGCTTCCGATCCAGAGAGTGGAAGCGTCAAGAGACGCGTGAAGAGCCGTAGACCATGTTTGCTCTGAGCAGCGTGCATAGGAAGGAATTACAATATAATATATCTTTTGTCTTTTCTCTCATGGTCTTAAGAAGTTCCTTAATTTGTTGCAAGTTGCTTTTTTTTTGTTGTTGTTAAAGAAATAAAGCAACTAAGGGGGTCTGAAAAGTTGCTATCTAGTGAGAAAGTTGCCAAAATGGTAACATTGGCAATTATGCTCCCTTCAACAAATTCATTCATTTTCCATAACTGTTTATCTTGTTAGGGATCATGGGGGGCTGGAGCCTATCCCAGCTGACATTGGGTGAGAGGAAAGGTACACCCTGGACAGGTCGCCAGACTGTCACAGGGCTGACACACAGAGACAGACAACCATTCACACTCACATTCACACCTATGGACAATTTAGAGTCACCAATTAACCTGCATGTCTTTGGACTGTGGGAGGAAGCTGGAGAAAACCCACACTGACACGGGGAGAACATACAAACTCCACAGAGAGGGGCTACCCCGCCCTGGGACTAAAACCAGGAAACCTCTTGCTGTGAGGTGACAATACTGACTTTAACAAATGTAATACCAATTTACAAAAATCCTGAATGGCTTTTAAAATATTCATTTATTTGTTAAAGCAACTTTGTTAAAAAAGTACTTAGCCGTTAAGCTAATGTTAGCTAAGCATTAGCTTGCTAACTATGTTATTGTTACCTGCGAATTACTGTTGTTTGTGTAGTTTTAAATGTTGGACAAAGTCAGCAGTTGTTGCTTCTGCATCTGCAATTTTATCTGTTTTTTGTTGACCACTGACCACTAGTTTTCGTACAGGAACAATATTATCTTTGGATTTATTTTTTCCAGCTAGCTCTTGATAACATTACGTTAGTTCTTCATGGTTCTCTCCTGCAACTTGATGCTGCTGTCTGATTGGTTCATACAAAGTGGATCATCTGGGGAATTAAGAGTCAACGTGCTGGGAATGAATAGTGTTAAGGAAATGAATTGATTCTTGGCACGCTTTTTTAACAACAAATTTTTTAATCTGCGGACTTGGAGGAAGGTATCAAGTATTTAAGTCCAAGTCAAGTTGCAAAGCTTTTTTAAAATTTCGTCGATCACACAGAAAGCATTTTTAGCAGCTGGAGGCAGCTTTTTGTAATTATTTTAAAGAGAATGGGGCTTTTTATGCATGGTTTTTGCAGTGAAATGCGTCTCATGTTTCTGCTCTCTAGGGACCTGGTGTTTTTGCTGGAGCACTCTGAACAGTTGACAAAACTTCAACTCAGAGTGGAAATGTGCCCCGTGTCATCTTTCTTCCCCATTGTCCAATGAGTTAATTTGAGAGGCGGGCCTTCTGTGGTGGTCACGACAACAAGTTTACAGTTGATAAACAATGGAGGAGAAACTGGTGGTAGCGGTTGCTGTATACCCAGAGCTATACGGCCTGAGGACAGACTGTCAAACTGCCCCATATCCTAAAATATGCCTGGAAACAGCCATCATCAAGGTGAAAAGTATTTCTGAAACTCCTGGACCAACTGGTGGTACTCCCCATGATCCTCCCTGTTTTTTAGGGTCTCATGTACCCACACAGATCTCCGTCTCTCCCTGTGACCAACAAACTATTTGCTGACAGCCTCTCACCCTCAACCAGAGTGACAGCAAGTACCCTCTGCCTGTCCATTTTTGTAACTAGCTACTAATTAGTGTGAAAAAAACAAACAGTACATTGATTACATGGGAAGGTTAGTGTAAGAAGGTGATGGGGTTGTTGCCTGGCAACAATAAAAAAGGGCGCAGCAGGCATTTTTTGCTACCTGCAAAACAATTTCTGTGTGATTGGGGCCTAATGCAACCTTTGAAACCAGGAAAGGACAACACTTAGGATATTATGGTATCCAAAATCTAAGACGATATCTAATCTTATATCACAGTATCAGTATAATATCGACATATTGCCCAGCCTTAACAGAGTGTGTGTGTAGCTGCTGCAACAGTACACACAGATGTGAAGACTGTCACTTTGAGGAGCTGATAGCAGATGATGCTAATGCACTCTCACCTGAGTGTTGCTGTCATCCATGATCTGAGTCTGCTCTAGACAAGGAGATCCCACCAGTGTCTGTCTGCTGCTGTAGTACTGGGGAGGAGCGTCCTGTAACAAAAGCAGTAACAACCTCAACAAGTGTGTCTCAGAGAGCAGAGCCTCAGTTATTGATCACAAGCATTCCTCGGTTTATATTTTAACTATGGATCCTGCTGCAGTTGGTAAGAAGTCCACTCATTTCAGCCCAATCTACCAATGTTCATGCCTTGTTTAATCACTGTAGACACAGGCTGGTTCAGCAATACCATAAATTATCTAATCAATAAGAGGACCACCCTCCAATTTCCGTGCCTCCTCCCCCATCCCACCCACTCTAAAACAAGACCTGTCAGTGTGTCACTGTATGAGGTGCAAGAATCCTGAAAAAAGACTGCCGGGAAAACTAGGTAATTGCCTTGAGTCTAAATGAGTCTCCTTTGTGTGGAGAACAATGTGACATCCTACTGTGTCACCAGGGTCCCTAGGCAACAAACCACACCGTGTGGTCCCTCTTTTCCCCTTGTAACTGCAGCAGGTACCTCTTAACGAGCACACTCCAGTACACATTATGGCCTCGTATGTCATTTGGGGCGGCATTACAACAAAAGTCAATTTGTTGCCTGACTGGGATTTGAATCCAGCATGAGAGTAAGAGATGTTAGAACAACTTCTGCTGCTTTTACTGGGGAGACATCTTCTGACTAAGAGGCAAAAAAAGTGGGAGATCAGTGTGCAGAAAGTGGTATAAAAATATCTGATAAATCATTTTCCCAGGCCAGTTAAACAATGACATCACCCACACTCAGAGTGACGCACTCTACCGACCTTTGCCATAACCCTCACATCATTTCATAGAGAGAGACGACACTAAAAAGGTGATGTCAAAGGTCACTTTCCCTCGTTGGTTTGTACTTTTAAGAAGCAAAAAAAAGGTCCTCAAGAAAGAGAAAAAAGGAGACTTGTCCTTTTGTCTCCTGCCATTGATTCAGCCAGTGTGAAAAAGCACAACCGTGTAAAATCAGTGTTGAAGTCGGGGGAGGACCCCAGCGGCAGTGTGCCTTTTTCACCACCGCAAACCTAAAGGAGATCCATTGTCTCCCTTGTGTCTCCAACACCCACTGTGGGGTGTGCACACTATTCATGGTGCAAACTGAAGCAGGGAAAGGTATGTGACGATGAAGTTGGAGACATGAAATGTCCCATAGGAACACAGTGAAAGAGTGTTTGTGTGTGTGTGTGTGTGTGTGTGTGTGTGTGTGTGTATTCCCTGTGGAATGACTAACTGATACTTTTTCTGTCGTTACAATAAAAACAAAAAAGCCTTTTCATTCTTTTTCAATCGAACACATCAGTTATATGTAAGAATCAGGTTTCAGGAAAAATATGTGATGACTATTAAATGTCCTCAGACCATGGGCGGATTATGACACAATGGGCCCCGGGGCATAGTTATGCAAAGGGCCCCATCACTTCTCCTACACAGAAGCAAGACACACAGACTCTGTAGTGGCCTTTTTTGTGGATTTGTGTTGCTTTGCACTTATTTTGTGTCTGTTTTGTAGTCGTTTGGGTCTCTTTGAAGTAATTTGGTGACATTTTTGGTTGTTTTGTGTAGCTTTGTAGTCATTTTGTGTCTTTTTGTAGTCATTTTGTGTCTCTTCGTAGTTGTTTTGTGTGTTTTGTAATAATTTTGTTCTCCTTGTGGCTGTTTTGTGTCTCCTTGATGTAATTGTGTGTCTCCTTGTGGCTGTTTTGTGTCTTTTTGCAATTGTTTGGGTCTATTTGAAGTAATTTTATGACTTTTTTGGTCATTTTGTGTTGCTTTGTAGTCCTTCTGTGTCGCCATGTGATTGTTTTGTGTCTCTTTGATGTAATGTTGTGTCTTTTGTAGTCATTTTGTGTCTCCTTGTTGTTGTTTTGTGTCTCCTTGCAACTGTTTTGTGTCTTTTTGTAGTCATTTGGGGTTTCTATGAGGTAATTTTGTAACTCTTTTTAATCATTTTGTGTCTCCTTGTGTTTGTTTTGTGGGTTTTTTTGGTATTCATTTGGATCTCTGAAGTCCTTTTGTGTCTCCTTGTAGTTGTTTTGTGTCTCTATGCAGTTCCTTTGCATTTCATTCTGATTATTTGTGTCTCCTTGTGGTCATTTTGAGTCTCTTCTTCTTTACAGTATGTGTTAATTTATCTGATATTTTGTAGGTGAAGGTGAGGAAACCCCCTGACACCTTGGGCCCCTGGGCCTGTGCCCAGTAGACCCATTCAGTATCCATCAATCTAGACTCTGGCACTCTGTATTCAGTGTTTACAGTTTGTCATGTGCAGTTTACTGTACTGACCCTGACGGTAAGTTAATGTTGTCTTATCAGCCACACTGTGTGCGGATACAGCTGTAACTAGAGGCCAGCGTGGCCACTTTGTACCAGTGAAACACACTGTTAGTTCCTTAAATGGGACAGCAGGACTTCTCCATTAAAACCACAGCTGAACAGAGCTTCCTGTCTGTTAAAGGGGGGGAGGTAGGACGGGTTACATCTCTGCAATCTGAAGATAACACTCCAACTTCACCCCTGGGACTCACAGAGGTGAGAAAGTAGTCAGGAAGAGGAAGGAGAGAGAATGGGCAACCAATGAAAAGTTACCTCTGGTGGAGTGTTTACATTTCCTTTTCACCTCATACCATATTGCCTACAGCTTCACACACATTCAGCGAGTTATCTCAAGTTGATAAAAAGATTTGTGGAAAAAAAGAAATGATATAAAATGCCACACACTCCCTTAAAACCCTTTAAGATTAGGTTATTTTGCTTCACCTGGTATGCTGATGTTAGCAACAAAATCTGATTTGCAGTGATTTAATTACGACTGGTGCTGAAGTAGCATCAATATGCGTGGTAAGTGCTAATTCTGTCCAATTCCATTAGAGTTACTGTGGCAGATATTTCTGGAGGGCAGCTAATTCAGCTGAGGCAAATCCATCGCCTGACAATGATCATATCAAGTTTATTGTAGTCCCTTTCCCACAGCCATGCAAATTGATTCTGACACTTCTTAATGGCGCGACACTGAGTGCACATGGTGCCTTTGAGCCCGGGTCCCCTCTCTCAACGACTGTGCTGGATCAGGATCAAAACTGAAGTCACTTTAAAGAAGAAAACTAAGCACAAAAGGCACTCTCTTCCTTTTGTTTTTTTTTCCTCTTACCATATCTGCATGTGGCCCCTGATAGGAGCGGAGTTTGCAGCACTGGAGATCCTTGCGGTAAATAATGGACAGCAGCACCACAATAACCACAAAGAACACCAGGGAAGAAACTATTTGAGAAACAGAAGAAAAGGAAATGTTTGTTAATCACTCTTAAACAGACAGGCCGTGTGTTTCTTTTTTAATACTGGCTGCAAAACAACTTAAAAAAAGAAGAGTTTTGTCCTTTTAACAGTTCAGATCTGTGACTGTGGTTAAGTTTAGCAACTTGGTTGGCTTTGAACAGTTTTGACTGACAGTCTGTCTCCACTTAAAGGTGCAATTTCTCCCTCTGTTGCTGCACCTGTCTATCAAAAACAATGACAGCTGGAAAATAATAGACTAATTCTGTCATTAACTGTCATTAAAGCTTTGATTGCAATATGTGAAAATTAGCCGCTATCTATAAAAAGAAATTATCTTGTACAAGTCTTATCACAGTGCTGCAATGTGGAGAGATTAAATGCAAATACCCAGGAAGCAGACACGTGGAAAACAGTATGCACACAGATGTTTTTCAAACAAAATCCTTCTTTCTTTTTTTTAGTATATTAGACAGTTTAAAGGTTTTACTTACAGGATGCAGCCACCACTGTGAGTTGATCCGATGTCAGCTGTGAGGAGGGGATGGTTGGACCTGCAGTTGTGGACATTTCTTCTGTGTAAACTGTGATCGTTCCCTTTCGAAATCCTCCTGAACTCATCAGGTTCAACACAAAGGCTCTCATCTTAGAGATATATCACTGAGAGAAACTGTCGCTCCTCTTCATTGTCTGCTCGGTCCCGGACAGGGTGACAGTCCACATGCGCGCTCTGCAAGTCGGATCAAACTCTCCCCACTCGGTGAACATGGCTCAGCGTGTGTGTGTGGAGCTCGTCAAGGCGCACTGACGCCTTCTCCCAGCCGCTTGACGTCGCTCTGGCTCTGCGTTGGGCAGCAGTCTGGTTAATGGATGGCTACTGGTGTGGAGCAGCAGCCACTGTAGGGCCAGTAGATTAGATTTAGCAGATTTACGCACAGATTGCAAACAGTCCAAATTATGTCCAGAGAGGAGACAACTGCTGCTGCTGCCTCCTCCGCCGTCTACTTAATGCAATGGCATCCAGACCAGTAGATTAACACACCGGATGCCTGAGCTGGAGTCCCGTTACCCTGGAGACCGTGGGGGTCCCGTCCCGAGATGATTTCTATACGAAGAGCCTAAATGTGGCATTAACATTCATGGATGGGAACTATAGCCTAGTGAAAACTTCTCTTTCAATTTAAAGTGCAAAACCCATAATGTGAAAAACCCTCTTAATGCCCTGCAGGTGGAGCCTATATTCTTCTATTTATTATACTTTTTATACCTTGTTTGTGCACTTTATCTTTTACTATTTATCACCTGTATATTTCTGATTTGACTCTATGTGTTTATTGCACAAGAATTCCTATGTATGTACCCTGGTGTACAAATGGTAAATAAAGTTATCTTATCTTATCTTAGATTACCAGTGGACACATTTAAAATTATTGCATTTTTGCCATTCTTTGGGTTGAACGTCAAGCATTGCTAATCTGCTCTAAAATTCAAGGACAAGGCATGAAATTGTTTTATTTTTATCAGAAGTGGCTATGACTTTGATCTTCCATGTAAGATCAAATCGTAACTGTAGTAGAAAGCAGTACAGTAAAACTTCAGTTAAAAACCTCGTCCCAAATCAGCACCCAGTCCCTTTTATTAGCCCGCTGTGGCTTCACATTTAGACAACTAAAGGCCTGTCTCAATTAGACCCTTGGTCCGGTGGCCAAGCAGTTCATTTTTTTTTAAAGAAGTTTTTCGGATGTATAAAAGTGGGTTGTTGGCTACCTCAAATTACGTGTCCATTCCTCAATTACCCTGTAAATTAGTCCGTAAGTGTCCACCTATCAAAATAATCAAAAGGGTTTTTCATGAAAATGAATCCAAGTTGTGAGTATTGTTTTAACAGGGTAAAGTGGTGTTGTGTCGGTATGTCAGATGTCGTAATCCTCGAGTCCTGAAACTCCCATAAAATGAATGATTCATAATTGATTTATTATCTATAATCTTTACACAAGTAATAGTCATACTGGTTTAAGTAAACAAAGTTGATTGTTTTTTTCTGATCTTTGCTGAGCAACAGTTTTGTGTGAAAGGAATTAAAGGCCTGTCTCAAATATAGGCCTGTTGATTTCAGTGATGTAAGCAAATAATAGCCCGGGCTATTAATTGAAGTTTTATGGTATTTAAGAACCTGACAAATTCATGTAATGACACACTGATCAGACGCCTGGATTTTAGTCACATGACTTGGACTTGAGTCTGACTGGAGTCACAAATTTGATGACTTAAGACTCCACCTGACAAATCAAAAAAGACCTGCATCTCAACATAGACTTTACCTTTAATGACACGTAACTTCACTTGGACTTGAACCTTTGGACTTGACAATACTTGATACCTTCCAAGCCCAAAAATTAAAAAGTATACTATTTGAAAAGGCGTGTCACAAATCACGGCAAATCACAGCACATCAAATGGCCTCCTGGTTCGAACCCCGGATGGCTGAGCCCTTCTGTGCAGAGTTTGTATGCTCTGCCCGTGTCAGCGTGGGTTTTCTCTGGGTACTCCGGCTTCCTCCCACAGTCCAAAGACATGTAGGTTAACTGGTGACTCTAAATTGCCCGTAGGTGTGAATGTGAGTGTGAATGGTTGTCTGTCTCTATGTGTCAGCCCTGTGATAGTCTGGCGACCTGTCCAGGGTGTACCCCGCCTCTCGCACAATGTCAGCTGGCTTATAGACCAATATGTGAATAAAAAAATATGTCTCCATGTGTCTACTGGTGGTGACCAGGCTGGAGTTATTAAGGAGAGGAATATGATAACCTCATATACAACCTGTGTTCTGCATGCAGAGAGCATTAAACAGGGTGGAGTGGATCTCTTAAGTGTGTTCTGCACATAGTTCGCTCTGACCCAGGCTTCATGGCTTGGATCAATACTTTATATTATGGACCAAAGGCAGCTGGGAGAAGGAAGTCAGCTATAACGTGAACCTAATAAGAAGCTGTACTCTAGCTAAGGGTTAGGTATAGTCACATACTGTGTTTTATAAACCTATGAAGCTGCATTTAACTGAAGATATGTACCAAAGAAGATGTAAGGGACTCCAAGGGAATATTTTATGATTAAAACCTCTGAAGTTCTGCTGCATGTGGAGGGAAACATCAAATACAGGGGAAAATATTTTGAAGTCCTCAGAGAATGAAAGAGTTCAGAAGCACCACTTCCTATTGGTTTGATTTACTTGTAAGAAACAACTTCACAGTTTTTTTTAATAGGCTGATTTATTTATGGGGTTTACAAAACACAGTAAATCCAAGATATAACATATCAAAGTGCCAAAATTATGAAAATGAGATCATATAGACAAGATAATGTGTTTAGCCCATGTGTAATGTTTGTAGTAGCATCCAGTCGAGAGCGGTCTTGGTCTCGAGACAGCTATTTAAGGTCTTGGTCACGTCTCGGACTCAACCACATTGTTACTCAGTCTTCAAGACCACAACTGCAGGGACATTACTAAAACGCTGGAGCTAAAAAAGCAGTGTTGAAAAGAGACAGTGAAGTTGATTTAAGCTCCTCAGTGTTTGCTTGTATTTGTGTCTGGAAAACAAAGGAAATCCCCACATATGAAATCACCTCTTCATTACCTTCAGACATTCCTCATAATGCACTTATGAAAAAGGTTGTTTTCTGTGAGTGTTTATATGTGAATGTGGATCTCTCAGACAAAATTGAGGAGTGCCTTGTTTGCATGTTCTACATTTTATTGTAATTGTGTCATGCAGTGTGGGAGTAGCCCTGGTCTGGAGTTGGTCGTGACTCGGTTACACCCTGCATTGGTCTTAGTCTTGAATTGGTCTCAACACCCTCAAAGTCTTTTTGCGTTCTGAGTCACAAACTTTTTCTTTTTACTTTTAGAAGGTGCTGCAGCTGCCCTTAGAAAGTACGTACTGTTACTATGGAGATAAAACAAAACACAGTTTCACAGAGGTAGCTAGAGACAGAGGTCAACCTGGACAGCTCTTATTTTGCAATAACTGCATACACTGTAAATTCTAACATGTTATAGTCACGATTGTAAAATTACATAGGCTCTGTCTTTGTTATTCAATACTGTTTATAGTGATTAAGATCTGAAGATCTGTCTGCAGTTCAACCAAACAGTGTTTCTTTCCTAATGTGTGACATTTGAAGGAGAAGTTGAAGCACAGAGAGGCAAAAGTATCCTGTTTTTCACTAGAAAAAGCAAAATATATATAGTATAGAGTGCCCCAGGAATGAGTCCTAAAACTCGGACAAGAGTTAACATTTTACCACCCACAGTTCCCTCGTCTTGAGGTCAGTCGGTTTTGTTAGACGCCTGAAGTAAAGTTTGTGTTTAACACAAGCTTAAGATACTTTCACATTTTGTTCTACAACATAAAATAAGTCTGTAACCCACTTGTAGATTTTTAAGCTTTTCTGTGTCTTAAAAAAGGCGGTTGCAAACAAGTGGTTAAATAAGACTGCAGAATGTCATCAGGTCATCAAGGTCAGCTTTACATCTGTGCTGTATGTAACAGTATGTATGTTTATGCTTCAAAAGTTGTAAAAATGATGTTAATTTGTGAAGATTTTCTCGCTGAACAAAATGTGTAAGTATCATAAATGATATTTTCTGCAATAATCTAAAATCTAATGGAAAAATCCCACAGGCTTTTTGACAGGGCACCAGAGAGAGCGAACCTCCTCATCAGCCCACAGAAAACGGTCATCCCTGGAGCACTGTATACAGCCCACACTGTTTTGCCATTCAGGGCCCCTTGTAGCACAGGTATAGATTTTGAGGGGGACACAGAGGACAAGTTCCCCTCAATATTTTCAACATATGCATTTGCCCCATCCTGATAAAAAAAACTTGAAAGTAGCCAAGACCCTTTATTTCATAAAATTAAAGACAATTACACCATAAATTGATGACAAAAACACACAAATTGGTGAAATAAAATTAGCCAGTATACAGGAAATTGAGTGTTTGATGCTCAAAATTTTCCAGGTGAAGGACCTCCAAACCCCCATTTTATATGTTTCCATCAATGTTGAAACTAAACCTACACCCTTGCCTTGAAGGGTTAGGGACTGTGCATTACTTATGAGGGGGGAGTGGGTGGTGCAAAAAAGTTTGTTTTGGCTTAGGCACGGGCATATTTATTGTACTGCTGATTTTTAGAGAAAACATGACTTTTTTAAGTCATGACTTTTTTTAAAGAAGACGAATGGAAATTATGGAAGATAAACCTACATAATAATTATGATCTTATTTTGTGATTATGTGACTCTGTAGAGTCATGTATAAGGACATATATGTGACATGTTTTTGTTTGTTAGTTTTTCTTCTCTTTCCTTCTAGACTTATTTGGTAATTTTTCTTGATGTACTTGATCCCATCTCCATATTATAAAAAATATGTGCCTTGTATTCTTGAATGTCTGGAAAAAATATATGTATGTCATGAACAGAGCCTTTCAAACCATTAAAAACAAACAGAATTACAGAATGTCCGATGGTCCTTGCACACATCATGTCCAACAAATACTTCCATCAGAAAGAAACAAATACATAATCAAATCTGAGTTTAAAATAGTAATAATTCATCAAAATCACTTTATTCTACATGTCTCATTTAAAATTTGGCCAAAAATAAACTGTTTGCACAAACTAACCACAGTGCATGATAAGAGGGGGAAAACCAAAGCTTATTTCAACTCTAGGATTTCATCTTCAACTTTTAACTTTTACTTTTTAAACATCAAAGGGTACGTTTTAAAAAATCTAATAACTAATTTATGGTGGATGGAGGGCCTTGCATTTTCCTCAAGTGACTCACGGAGGCTCAGTGAAAAATATTTGTAACTTCAGGGAGTGTGGGAAAAAACAAAGCAATCCCTCCTCTGA